AAAGCACCTTTGGGATTCAGACAAACAGTTATCCAAACCCTTCTTTAAAAACCTCTAGTGGTGAAGCACCCACAACTTCTGGAAGACATCAAGAGTCTCCCTCTCCTGTTTCTTCAAAGTCCAATTTTCACTTCCATAAAGTGGGACCAAGATTTGCATGATTCTGATCTTTGTCGGTATAGACGCATTGAGCATCTTTTCCAAGATCTTCATGACTCCTCTACCAAGTGTTGATCTGCAGTATATTTTTTGACTGCTTCTGTTTCTTTCCTGTCAATGGTTGATCCTAACCAGGGGTGGACTTCAAAAATTTTAGCAAGAGATTCTCTGCCCAGTTGCTGGGTGGGCGTGGCTTAGTTGGCCTCCTGCACTGCAGCGGTGCAGTGGTGTTTTCCTCGAGCCTCCGGGAGGGCGAAAACGGCCTCCCCAAGCTCCAGAGGCTCTCCGGAGGCCTTCCCAAACTTCCGGTAGGCCTGTTTTTCGCCCTCCCTGAGCCTCTGCACCAGGGGTGGGTTCTAAATTTTTTTACTACCGGTTCTGTGGGCATGGCTTATTTTGTGGGTGTGGCTTGGAGGTCATGTGACTAGGTGGGCGTGGCTAGCTGGTCAGAGTCATTTCTGGAAGGTCCTCGCACTTACGACCAGTCCTCGAACTTACGACCCGACTCATTTGTTTGCTTTTAACACTGATCAGCTGTAGGACAGCCCTTTGAAGCCCCGGGGCAAGAGTTTAAACAGTTTTTTTCCCTCTAGTCATCAGCTGGGGACTCAGGAGGCAGCAATAGATTGGGGGTGGGACCAAATAAAAGATAAGAATAACGGGGGTGGGTGGGAGGGCGGGGGGGAGAACCGGTTCGGTGATGTCATATCGTCACCACTACTGGCTCGGCCGAACCGGACCAAACCGGGAGGAACCCACACTGCTCTGCGCACACCCTGCACTTACCTGCATCCAAAACGTGCCGCATGGGAACTCCTGGGAGAGGCAGGGTGGGGTGGGCAGGGCCAGTCAGGAGTGGGATTTGGGGGTTCTCCGAACTGCACAGAATCTTAGCTAGAGGTTCTCCCAAGCCCCTGTGAACCCCCAGCAGCCCACTCCTGATCCTAACAGGCAGAAGCTATCCACCGCTTCAATCTCTTCGTTGCCAGTTCTGAAGCTGGTTGTTCTACTTGTCATTAGCTGTCTTTACATTTAAATTTAGTCCCATCTGAAGCTGGAGATGGGTGGAAGATAAATTAGGAGCACTTGAGATGTTGAATCACATCCTATCATAACAATGAGGTTTATGCAAGGTGCAGTTAATTGCTCATTGAAACTAGAACTCCTATCCGATAGAGCGATGCTGATTAAGGTGTTCTGCGAATTGAAGATTACAGGATTACAGGTAGTCTTCGGTTTACGATCACAATTGAGCTCTAAATATCTGTTGCTAAGTGAGACAATTGCTAATTGAGTTTTGCCCCATTTTACGACCTTTCTTGCCACCGTTGTTAAGTGAATCACTGCAGATGTCAAGCTAGTAACACCGTTGTAAAGCAACTCTGGCTTCCCCATTGACTTTGCCTGTCAGAAATAAGCTAATATAAAAAGAAACTTAGTTAAAATTATTTGGTTATATTATTAATATTGTTATTAGTACATGTGTTACTTTATTTATATTATTGTTATCAGTTTATGTGTTGATACTTATTATTGTCTTTTTGGGGGGGTCTTTTTTCTTGTAAATGGTATACACTAACAATACACTGTATTCAAAAATGTTTATAAATAAAACTATATATATATAAAAAAAGAAGTGACAAGCATAAAGTGGTGACCTGGGACACTGCAACCGTCATAAATGTGAAACGGTTGCCAAATGTCTGAATTTGGATCGTATGACCATGGGGAGCGAGAAAAGCTAAATCCCCGTCGGTGCCAGGGCCACTTAGGCCCAGCCAAGATCACGTGCCCCCCCCCCATCTCTGCTGGGCCTAGGCGGCCATGGCACCGATGGGGATCCGGTCACTGACTTTTGCCTGCTGGGCCTGGGTGTGCTCTACCACCTCAGCTCGGACTTTCTAGCTGGTCTAGATGACCCTGGAAACATGGCAAGCATCATAAATATGAGCCAGTTGCCAAGCATCCAAATTTCGATCACGTGGCCAGAGGGATGTTGCAACTGGTTATAAGTGTGAAAAACAGCGATGAGACACTTTATTTCAGTGCCGTTGTAAACATTCAAATGGTCACTAAATGAATGATTGTAAGTCAAGGCCTGCCTGTACCTAGAAGGTACCAGGCTGAGGGAAGTCTGCTCTATTCAAAGTGAGAGTGTGTTACTGACCAGGTTACACCTGACTAGGTGGCTCAGTGGCTAAGACACTGAGCTTGTCGAACAGAAAGGTAGGCAGTTCGGCAGTTCGACTCCCTAATACAGGTCTCCTGCGTGAGCAGGGGGTTGGGCTAGATGACCTCCAAGGTCCCTTCCAACTCTGTTACTGTTTTAAAAAAAATTCTAATTGGTTGATAATAAAAACATGGCTTTTTCTTCTTCTTTTATTTTTTATAAATTTTTTTTATTTTTTAAGACAAACAAACATTTAATACATCAGTCATCCCTTCCCTGTGACATCTCGTGTTATCTTCCAAAATTCTTCGTCTTCTTCCATAAGTTTTTTCTATCTTGATCTTCATCCAAACCATTATAACAATTCATTGCTAAAACAATATTCTAGTCATCAAGTTTTTATACATAATTATAAAATTAATCATTTATATCACTTTTCCAACCAACGATAAAAATAATTCCATATCTTGAAATAGTCTAACTCTTCCCTATCCTTAATCATCAAATTTAATCTATTCATTTCTGCACAATCTAAAAAAAAAATTTATTACTTACTTTTTCTTCCAAAGGTATTTTCTCTGCTTTCCAATTTTGAGTATAAATAATTCCTGCAGCTGTTATTACATGTATAATCAGGTAAATATTCTCCTAAGGCTTTTTCTTATTGTAGGTTCTTCTAGTGATAAACAAAAGAACTGAGGGGAAATCTGAAGAGAGGAAGGAATTTTTGAAACTTTTGGGCCTGGCTGTGGTGTGTTTACATCCCTTGGCTGAGCAGCTGGTCAGAGGGGCTCTGCTCCTGCCTTTTCAACTGGTGCTTATTCTTGTTGACTTTGGGTTTTTAGCCTCGGGTTTTTAGCCACAAAGTAGTCAATCCTGTGAGTCTGAATTCTGTTACCCTTGACCGGGAGCATTGCGAAACCCAGCAAAACCAGTTAAACGAGGGTTAAACGATTCCACTAGAGAAAAGGGGAACAAGCAACGGGCTGGTTCTTATTTTACCGCCTGCCAATCTTGGGGGGGTGGGGGGGTAAGTGGGTGAGTTTGAAAGCATCTTTGCAGCTTCAGAGGCCAAAACATGTTTACAGCATTCCCAATTTCTACTTATACAGGCAGTCCTCGACTTACAACTGTAAGTCATTTAGTGACCGTTCAAAGTTACAACATCGTTGAAAAAAATAGAGTCAGGACCGTCTTTCACACTTACGACCTTTTGCAGCATCCCCATGATCATGTGGATCAAAATTCAGATGCTTGGCAACGGAACGGGCTCATATTGATGACGTTTGCAATGTCCCAGGGTCGTGTGATCGCCTTTTGTGACCTGACAAGCAAAGTCAAATGGGGAAGCCAGATTCACTTAACAACTGTGTTACTAATTGGTCAACTACAGTGGCTCACTGAACAACTGCGGTAGGTTGTAAAATGGGGCAAAATTCCCTTAACAAATGTCTCACTTAACAACAGAAATGTTGGGTTCAATTGTCATAAATCGAGGATTACCTGTAATAACCTCTTTTCTGAATTCTTTGCCCCACAGCAAAGTGGCAGAGCGATTAGAACTAAAAGCTCTAGAACTAAAGCCCTATTTGCCCTATGACTACAATTGAGCCCAAAATTTCTGTTGCCAAGTGAAACAGTCGTTAAGGGAGTTTTGCCCCATTTTATGACCTTTCTTGCCACGGTTGTTAAGCGAGTCACTGTAGCAGTTAAGCTACTAACATAGTCGTTAAGTGAATCTTTCTTCCCCATTGACTTTTCTTGTCAGAAAGTCACATGATCCCGGGACATTGCAACCGTCATAAATATGGGTTAGTTGCCAAGCATTTAAATTTTGATCACATGACAATGGGGGATGCTACAATGGTCATAAGTGTGAAACATGGTCATCGCTCATTGTTTGAATGTTGCTATAACTTTGAACGGTTCACTAATGAAATGTTGTAAATCAAGGACCACCTGTATAAATCAGCCACCAAGCCTCTGAATTTTGATCACGTGAGCGTTTCGTAAGTGTGAAACCCGGTCATCGCTCATTGTTTCAGTGCCGTTATAACTTTGAACTGTCACTAAATGGCATGTTGTAAGTCGAGGACTACCTGTATAAATCAGTCACCCAGCCTCTGAATTTCGATCCCATGAGTGTGGGGAATGCTGCAACAGTCATAAGTGTGAAACCCGGTCATAGCTCATTGTTTCAGTGCCGCTATTACTTTGAACCGTCACTAAATGAAATGTTGTAAGTCGAGGACCACCTGTATAAATCAGCCGCCCAGGCTCTGAATTTCGATCATGTGTGCGTGGGGAATGCTGCAACGGCCGTAAGTGTGAAAACCGATGGTGTCGGTTTTTTTTCAGTGCCGTGGTTAAGTTCGAACGGTCACTAAATGAACGGTCGAGGAGAACCCGTCAGCTGTGTGTCCTGCCTCTCCAGCCAAGGGTGGTGTTATAAACTTTAGTTTATAAACTATTGTAAACTGAACTAAAACCATCGTTAAGTCAACGCTCCTCAGCATAACACAGCCGGCCCTGTTGTGTGATTCACAGGCGCTCCTGAGGAACTGTTTCGTGTTCCTAACACGAATAGTTTTAAGCGGTGGAGAGTCTGGACGTTGCGCATATCAAGCCCGCCCATAACAAACCCATTTCCACACTGAATTTTGTGGCGTTCCTCTTTTTCTTTTTTCGCCACATGAGAGACTGGAAAAGCTGAGCCTTTCAAACTCTCTGGCAGACAGAGCTCCTCTTGAATCTTGAAGGCGGAGGGCTTGAAGGCGAATGCGTGTGACCTTTCCTTTCCCCCACGTTTGTGTTTATGCCGCAGCATTTAGACAAGCTGGATATCTGACCGTCTCGGGCTACTCCTGTCTCCCACACATCTGATACTCACTCCCCTGTCACACGTCACATCCTGAGTCAGGTGTTACTCACTTCAGTTGGGGAGTAGGTCTCTCTCTCTCTCTCTCCCATTTGCATGAAACAGTGCCAGTGTCCTGACATTTTTATTTTTATATTTTTATTTTTTCCTTCTCTTCCTGGAGGGAACCGAAGGAAGGCAAGAGAGACTTCTGCACCGACTCACGGAGACTACCGACTCCGTATGCCAAGCTTCCTAAAAGGTGAGTGGCTTCAGTTGATATCTCGTTTTTATGAGAAGTTTTTTGCAAGTTGCCTTGAAGAGGGTTTTCGCTCTCAAAAGAGGGCTGTCAGTCATTGTTAAAGAATAACTGACACGATGTTTTCCTCCGGTGATCGCACGCCTTTATCAGTAAAAACTATTTTCAGTGTGCCTTCCACAATACATGCTTGTTCATTTCTTTTCACTAAACAAGGGAAAAGAAGGATTAGGGGGGTGACAGGAAAGCAGTGTTCCAATATTTGAGGGGCTGCCACAAAACAATAAAAAGAGAGGAAGGAATCAATTTATTCTCCAAAGCACCAGAAAGCAGGACAAGAAACAATGGATGGAAACTAATCAAGGAGAGAAGCAACCTAGGAACTGAGGAGAAATTTCCTAACAGTGAGAACAATCAACCAGTGGAACAACTTTACCTTCAGAAGTTGTGGGTGTTTGAACATGGGAAGCTTTTAAGAAGGGACTGGATAATTATTTGTCGAAAATGGTATGTAGGGTTTCCTTGCTTGAGCAGGGGAGCGCCAAGGTCCCTGCCAACTCTGTTATTCTGTTATTTATTAATTATTATATATGTCTAGTACTACATTAATATTATTTACATTATAAAAGAGACCCCCCCCAACATATCACCTTTTGACACCCCCCCCCCAACATATCATATTTTGTGCATTGAATATTAAACTAGCTTAAATTCTTACCGGTTTTTAATCTAAAGCACACTTCCATAGATAACAGTATTACGTTTTGTGCATTCTGTATAATCTGTGCCAGCTCTTAGCAACCTCACAGATTTCTTGTTTACTTTTCCATCCCCGATAAATAGAAATAGACATTGGAATGTTTTCCCCACGTCCCAGTCGGTCATCTTTTTATTTTTAAATTTTTATTATAGTTCAAAAAAAAACAAAAAAACACAAATGTATAATAGTTTTTTTATCATGGTGTAACATCACCAAAATATCCATGTATATATACACCAATAATCAGAAAGTAAAAATAGGAATTATTTATATATTCTTATATACAAATTTACATTTCCAATACTTATTGATTACCATAATTATACCATCATCTATAATTATAATCCAACATTATCCTTTATCTCTCTCCTATCGTTTCTGGATCCAATCATACCACATGTTCCAACTACTATAAAAATCTGAGTCTCTTTTACCCTTGATCAGTTTTGTAAGTCTGTCGGACTCCACACATTCCATAATTTTATAAATTATTTTTGAGTCCGTTGGTAAGTCCTCATTCTTCCATTCTTGTGCGTCCCAGTCGGTCATCTTGTGTGCACCCCTGGTAAGTGCTCACTCCACTTTGCAGACAGAGTTTCCTGCTGGAAACAGGGGGTTGGACTAGAAGACCTCCAAGGTCCCTTCCGACTCTGTTATTTTATTGTACACCATTTTAAAACAGTTCTTCTGCGGGATATATTTTGCGTGTGAGCAGCTCTCACACTTGGTAAATTTCCAGCTTCTAGGCTTCGCTGCCTTTTCCCAGCGGATATGAATATGTGTTTTGGAGAAGGGCACAACGTTAACAGATCTGTTATTTTCCTTCAGTCCCTCCCTCTTTCCAGCATTCAAAACACACAGGAGAAAAGGGGCACCCCAAGTAGCACAGGTAGGACTGGAACAGGCAGGTACCCCACCCCTCCGAGACTTGCATGCCAGGGTTCCTGCAAGTGACATTTTAAAAGGAGGTTGGCTTAGGCACCTCGCTTCCATCCTCATTTGGTTCCATTTCTTAATATCTGGGGTTTTGTAGACAGAGTTTAGAGTCTGGCAGGTGCACCACTAAAGCTGCACATGTTATTACAGGTAGTCCTCGATTTACAACCATTCATTTAGTGACCGTTCAAAGTTACAACAGCACTGAAAAAAAATGACTTATGACCAGATTCTTGGGGACCATATCAGAGGTGGGTTTCAGCAGGTTCTGATAAGTTCTGGAGAACCGATAGCGGAAATTTTGAGTAGTTAGGAGAACCAGTAAATACCACCTCTGACTGGTCCCGCCCCCATCTATTCTCTGCCTCCTGAGTCCCAGCTGATCGGGAGGAAATGGGGATTTTGCAGTATCCTTCTCCTGCCACGCCCACCAAGCCATGTCACGCCCACCAAGCCACACCCACAGAACTGGTAGTAAAAAAAAATTTAAATCCACCACTGGACCATATGCTGACTCTGTAAACCACTTAGAAAGGGCTGTGTGAAGCACTGTAAAGCGGTATATAAGTTTAAGGGCTATTGCTATTACTATTTTTAAGAGCCATGGTGGCGCAGTGGTTAGAAGTCAGTATTACAGGCTGACTTTGCCCACCGTCAGGAGCTCGATCCTGACTGGCTCAAGGTTGAATCAGCCTTCCATCCTTACGAGGTGGGTAAAATGAGGACCCAGGTTGTTGGCGGACAATAGGCTGACTATGTAAAACTGTTTAGAAAGGGCTATGAAACACTGTGAAGCAGTATATAAGTCTAAGTGCTATTGCTATTTTTCACACTTATGACCGCCATAGCATCCCCATGGTTACGTGATCAAAATTCAGATGCTTGACAACTGATTCATGTTTATGACGGTCGCAGTGTCCTCGGGGAGGGGTGTGTGTCACGTGATTCCCCCCATTGGCGGACCTTCCGATAAGCAAAGTCAAGGGGGAAGCCAGATTCACTTAACAACCAAGCTTACTAACTTAACAAGTGCAGTGATTCATTTAACAAATTGTAGCCAGAAATGTCGTAAATGGTCCATTTTTTTTTTTTTTTTGGCCAAAAGTGTGATTGGACACACAAGGAATTTGTCTTGGTGCATATGCTCTCAATGTACATAAAAAGAAAAGATACGTTCCTCAAGAATCATAAGGTACAACACTTAATGATATTAATAAAATGGGGTACAATACAATTCACTTAACAGATGTCTTGCTTAGCAACATAAACTTGGGACTCCATTGTGGTCGTAAGTCGAGGACTGGCTGTGTTTTGTCAACAAGCATGTTGCAAGCATTGCATTGGAAACATGTTGGCACTGTTCCTCTATTTATCAGTAAAGACAGAAGGTAGGTAGATCTAGATTTTCATATCCACATTACATTGTTTTCATTGCAATTGTGAAAGTATCATGGTAGGTATTGATTGTGTCCCTTTCAGGTAACTTTAACTACTACTTGATCCTCGGTTTTCACAGGTAGTCCTTGACTTACAACCACAGTCAAGCCTAAAATTTCTGTTGCTGAGTGAGACCGTTGTTAAATGAATGTTGCCTCATTTTACGACATCTTGCCACAGCTGTTAAATGAATCGCTGCCGTTCTTCAGTTAGTAACACAGATGTTAAATGAAATCTGACTTTGCTTGTTTGGGGGTGAAATGCTCCCGGTTTGGACCGGATCGCCCGATCCGGTAGCAATGGCGGTGGGTGATTCGGAGAACCGGTAGCAGAAATCCCTGCCAGCTGAGCTGAGCCATGCGATCATCAGAAGCCTTTTTTTTTTACTTTTAAAAGCATTTTTTTTGTACAAATGCTTTTAAAAGTAAAAAAAAAAAAGCCTCTGATGATCGCACGGCTCAGCTGGGATCGTCAGAGCCTTTCAAAAGCATTTTTTTTTTTTACAACCTCTTCGGCCGAAGAGGTTGTAGAAAAAATGCTTTTAAAAGAAAGGGAAAAAAAAGTTGGCCACGCCCACCCAGTCACATTATCCCCCACCAAGCCACGCCCATAGAACCGGTAGTAACCAATTTTACATTTCACCACTGGATCGCATGACCCCGGGACGCTGCATCTGTCATAAATATGAACCAGTTGCCAATCGTTTGAATTTTGATGGGGATGCTGCAATGGTCTAAGTGTGAAAAACACTTAGTCAGTGTTGTTGTAACTTCGAGTGGTCACTAAATGAATTGTTGTAAGTTGAGGATTACCTGTAATTTTTTTTTTTTTTAAATGTAGTGGGGCCATGTACATAGCGGCGGGAGCGTTAGAAATAAAATATTAGTTAGCGTGCATATGCAGATAAGCATGCATGTCAGTGGCTTTAAAATAACGGGAAGGGTTTTTTTTTAGAGTGCTTAAAGTTGGGGGAGCAGTAGAATCCCTTAAAACAGTGTTTCTCAACCTTGGTAGCTTGAAGATGGGTGGACTTCAACTCCCAGAATCCCCCAGCCAGCAGCGCTGGCTGGGGGATTCTGGGAGTTGAAGTCCACCCATCTTCAAGCTTCCAAGGTTGAGAGACACTGCCTTAAAACTTCCACCCTCCATGTTTTTTCTTATTGCACACAGAATGACATTGTTAATGGATGTGTGTTGACCCTGCAAATTCAGAAATGACCCGTTTAACTGTTTCGATTTAGTGCTCTGAAGGATCTGTCAGGGGCATCCATTTATTGGGTCATTTTAGAGATTTATTTTAGGCACTGGTGCTCCTCCACTTACAACCACAACTGAGCCCCAAATTTCTGTGGCTAACCACGAGGCAGTTGTTAAGCGAATTTAGCCCCGTTTTGCAATCTCTCTTGCCACCGTGGTTCAGTCGGTAAGACGGACGTTAAGTGAATCTGGCTTCCCATTGAAGATAGCAAAAGGTGACCCCCTAGACAACGGTCATAAATGTGAGACAGTGACCCCAGGACATTGCAACTGTCCTAAAATACCAATCAATTGCCAACCTTCCAAATTTGGATCATGTGGCCCTGAGGATGCTGCAACAGACGAAAGTGTGAGTGTCGCTTTTTTTTAGTGCCGTTGTAACTTACAACCGTCACTAAATGAACTGTTGTAAGTTGAGGACTACCTGTACTTTTCAAAAAAAGCCCTTATTGTGGGTTATCTCTTCGGCTGAATTCCCCACTGTGGCGGCTTCTTCTTCTTCTTCTTCTTCTTCTTCTTCTTCTTCTTCTTCTTCTTCCTCTCCTCCTCCTCCTCTTCTTCTTCTTCCTCTCCTCCTCCTCTTCTTCTTTCTCCTCCTCCTCCTCTTCTTCCT